CTAACAACTGTCTGTAACTCCAGTTCCAGGGGATCTGATGGCCTCTTCTGTCCTCCTCAGGCACTGCATGACACGGGTGCACTCACCTACATGCAGACAATACACACATACACATAAAATGAAAATAATAAAATATAAAAAAAATTAGAAAAGAGATGTTCATATCACATTATTTCCTGTTTTAATGTTCACTGACATAATTTTCAAGGAAACAATAAACTGTTTAAAATAAAACAGCTGGCACAGTGATGCATGCCTTTAATTCCAGCAGAGGCAGGTGGATTTCTGTGCAATGGAGGCCAGCCTCATCTACATATTGAGTTCCTGGACAGCTAGGTCTACAGGGAGACCCTGTCTTAAACGAACCTACCAACCAGCCAACCAGCCAGCCAACCAAACAAACAAACAAACAAAACTAATAAAACAGGGGCAAGCAAGATGGGCTAGCAGGTAAAGACACTTGCCACCAAGCCTGATGACCCGAGTTCAATTACTGGAACCCACATGGTGTGGAAGGAGAAAGCTGACTCCTACAAGGTGTCCTCTGACCTCCCATGTACATTATGGCATGGGCCACACACACACACACACACACACACACTCACCCACCACACATACACACACAGGAAAGTAAAATCTCTGTACAGTATTAAAAAAAAATTAACAACACAGATACACCATGTGCCTGAAAGGATGTTCATAACATACAATTAATTTTTAATACATTATGAGCTGCGGGTGTGTAGCCAGTGGTAGACTACATTAGCATGAATGAGGCTCTTGGTTCAATCCTCGGTACCAAAATAAAGAATACAACATAGCACGGACATACTCCATTTAAGCAGCAAAATATGTGGGGGCTAGAAAGATGGCTCAGCAGTTAAAAGCCCTGAATGTTCTTGCAGAGGACCTGGGTTTACTTCTTAGCACCCAAAAGGTAGATAACAACTATCTATCTGTTGCACACACATGGTAAATTTACATATACATAGACAAAACATATACACAAAATAAATTTTAAAAATTGAAAAAATGTTTAAAAAAATAAGCATGAGGAAGAAAAGTCTAGAAGGATACAGGTAAAATAATGATTTATACATGTACACTGACCTCCCAATTTAGAGAAGGAAAAAAACCAGGCTTGTGAGATGGCTCAGTTGGTAAAAGTGCTTGCTATACAAACATGAGGACCTGAGTGTGGCCCTCAGAACCCAGGTAAAAAGTTAGGAATAGTGATGCACTTATAATCCCAGCACTGTGGAGGCAGAAACCAGAGGACCTTGGAACTCACTGTCCAATCAGCCTAGCCTAATTAGTGAGTCTCAAGTTCCAATCACAGACCTTGTCTCAAAAAAAAGAGGATGGTTCATAAAGAATGACATCTGAGGGTGACCTCTGGCCTCCACGTGTACCCACACACGTGAACAATGCCCTTAAATTCACACCACATACATACATAATTTTTTAAAGCATTTTATTATTTTTATTTTATGTGTATGTGTGTATTGTCTGCACTCGTGTAACTGCACCCGTGTCGTGCAATGCCCAGAGGACAGAAGAGGCCATAAGATCCCTTGGAACTGGAGTTATGGACAGTTGTTAGCTGCCATGTGGGTGCTGGGATTCAAACCTGGGTCTTCTGCAAGAACAAGCAGTGTTCTTAACCGCTGACCCATCTCATCTCTCCAACCCCCACACACAGATTTTTAAAAAGAGGGAGAGAAGGAAAAATAGAGGGCACCATTTACCATTTCCCCTCCTCTTTATTTTCTCTTTTTCTATACCGTATTTTGAGAGGGAAGAAAAATAGCACGTTTCTAAAAAAAACAACTAAGTTTTTAAAACTCTGAGTAAACAGGGTTGGAGAGATGGCTCAGTGGTTAAGAGCACCTGCTACTCTTGTAGTGACCTGGGTTCAGTCCCCAACACACACACACACACACACACGGCAAGTGACTCACAACTGTCCATAACTCAGTTCCAGGGGACCTGATGGCCTCCTCTGGCCTCCACAGGCACTGCATGCATGTAGTGCACTTACAGGCAAGCAAAACACTCATATACACAACATTTAAAAATTAAAACAGCCAGGCGTGGTGGTGCACGCCTTTAATTCCAGCTCTTAGGAGGCAGAGGCAGATGGATCTCTGTGAGTTCAAGGCCAGCCTGGTCTACATAGTGAGTTCCAGGACAGCTGGGGCTACAGGGAGACCCTGTCTCAAAAAGACCAAAAAAAATAAATAAATAAATAAAACAGTCTGAGTAAAAGTTTAGTAGCAGTGGTATATACATCCAACATAAGCATGTTCCAAAAACTGACCCTGCTACACAAGTATCACACCAGGACTGCAGGACTAATCCCTGAATAGGGCTCTCTTGCTTAGCTTAACTCTACGATAGAGATCTAATTCTGTATCTTCTGTAAGGGATGCACTGACATACCAGATTATCTGCCGAGGACAGCGACTGCCTGTCATCTGCTATGCCGTTGGTCTGTGAGTTCTCATCAACTCCTGGGGGAACAGTGTATTCCTGGCACTCTAGGGCACCCAGGATTCGGTCGGGTTCCATCAGACCATGCTTTTCTGCTGCTTCTTAAGACACAAGTGTAACATCATTGCCAAGTGAGTATGCATCCCAAAGGCTGCCTGGTACAAGAAAGAACTTATCTACATAGACTCAGCTACTGCTTTCTTCCTTCCTCCCCTTCCCCTAGCCCACCATAACATAGTACTTGGCCAAGGTGGTGCTTAGGCTTTCTGGGTGTCTCCTATCTACAACCTCTGCCAGGGCTGCAGCAATTCCTAACTCCTTGCAGAGGTTCATTCTTATCAAAGAACTGTCAATTGGACCTACAAAACTAAAATGCAGCAGCCCTGCCCATTCCATCCATTTCTGCACCACATCAGCAACAGCTAAACAGAATTATTAACACAGGAATCAGAGGCATCTGCAACAGAAAACCTTAGTCATAGAGAAAAATAGACCTTAGCTTCCTAGCAGCCATGTGGAAAGCAAAGAATTACAATTTCATCCTGTCTGATGATGAGCAGAACAACGAGCAGAGGTCGAGTCTGCCACATGACGCGCTGTGTGTGGACACTGAACTTAATTAAGCACACCTTCAACATATCTTAATTAAAAAATTTTTGACGTGTGTATGTGTAGACGAGATGATTTCTGAACTCAAGTCATCGAGCCTGGTGGCAGATGCCTTTACCAGCTAAGTCACCTTGTAGCCTCAATAACAGTTTTACAAAATATATAGTCACTCAATGAATTACTTACCAAGTGCTAATTATATGACAGACTGTAGTATGGACCAGAATCAGGACCAGATAAATTATGACTTCTGTATAGGCCCCAGAGATTATAAAGGTATGAAATAAAATGATCCTGTTTTAAAGACTTTGCTATAAGGAGTTAAGTAAATGATGAACTCCATTAGAGAGCTTTGTGGTGCCCTAAGCTAACAAACAAAAAGACTCAGAGAAATGGCTTTCAAGTCATGACTTCAGAGCTGGGGACGTAACTCAGGGGCAATTTATCATGTGTGAGGATTCAATCCCCAGAACCAGAATTTACTTTTTAATTGAATTTTTGTGTATTTCATACAGAAAACCATCTTTACACCCCTTCCACTTTGGCACCATCCCACACCCCGCCCCCCCCAACTGGAGTTCATACCTTCTGTCATTTGTGTTAAGGCCTATCATGTAAAGTTAGTGTCCCCAAATAATCCCTCAGTGCAAGTTCATCCACTGGGATCTAGTCTGTCTAGAGCTCCTCCCTTTAAGAAGATCAGCTCATTCACACCCAGTAGTAATCAGCTGCCAATAATTCTTCAACTAAGATTGGGGCCTGCTGTTTATTTTCACAGTTCTGTGCTGGGTTTTTGTCTGCCTAAGTTTACATGGGTCTTGTGTATGCTGTAGGTTTGTATGAGGACAGTCCAAGGAGCCTGTAGGACTATTTCCATATGGTCATGCACCTCCTCCCTGGCTTTTACAATCTTGCACCCCCTCTTCCTCAATGATCCCTGAGCCCTGGGTGGGTGGATTTTCATACAGGAGTCCTATCCAAGGACCCACAGTCTGCAGACTCTAAGTTTTGGGCATTTGTGACCTTTTGCATTCCCTCCTCTCTGTTGCATGAGGGAACTTTTTTTTGTCTTTTTGAGACGGTCTCCCTGTAGCTCCAGCTGATCTGGAACTCACTATGTAGACCAGGCTGGCCTCAACTCACAAAGATACACCTGCCTCTGCCTCCAAAATGCTGGGATTAAAGGCGTGTGCCACCACGCCCAGCTGCAGGAGGGAGCTTCGCCAATGAGAACTGAAAGATGCATTAGTGTTCGCTTCATCCTGGTTCTATGTTCTGTGAGCCTTAGGTGTAGAGGTTGCATATTAGATGTGCCACTTAAGCTTGGACAATTCACAGACAATCTGTGTGTGTGAACCAGATGTGGAACTCTGTAACTATCTCTGTTAAAAAAGAAGCTTCTTTGATGGGTGGCAGCACCAGAATTTTTTTTTTTTTTTTTTTTTTTTTTGTTTTTTTTGGACAGGGGTCCCCTTTTGCCCCCCCCGGGCCGG